AAGATAAATGAGAGGGATAAAATTAAATTCCTTAGTCCCATCGAGCCAATACATGTCGTGAAATCATGATATCTTTCCCATGTCGCGTAATTAATGTCCGCTATAAATAATTCTTTTTCGATCTAAAAATAAATAACAATAAACTATATCGACCTTGTTTCGGCGAGCGAACGAAAAGGATTATAACATGAGTTAACATTTTTTTCCTTTGAGTTCATTTTTTATGTATACTAATAAAAAGAATAATACAATTTAGATATAATTCCGAATGACCCCTGCTCGTGATTAACTTGAAATTTTGCACATAAATTCTACTCAATGTGAGAAATAAAAAAATACATAATCTCAACTTCGGGAAATGAAAAAAAAAATTATTTTATAAATTATCGATAGCACTCATCAACTAAAATTTATTCTATATATGATATATACAACATGTATAACATGTAATACACATAACAATATCATATATAACACACATACAATGATTAATCTAACTTTTTTTTTACACAAGCATCTTGGCGTGGAAGTTGTGCGTCCCTCAAGCGGGGGAGGAGGGGGGAGGTGGTAATATGCTCGTCATTATATTATAAAAAAAATCTTTCTTCGTTGATCTCAATTAGATCATATCTAATGGTTTCTATATGTTAATTGCAATAACACGTATATTTTATAATTCCTATGTACTTAAATATGTATATATATATATCAATTTCTGTAATATTATATAACAATAATAATACATTACATATATTACATTTGCATTTTCATGTTCGTATATGTCTCTCAGTAACGTATAAGTTTAATTGTACGCAATTTATTGGTGAATTAATGCGTAATTATTTCTATATACACTTAAATTCAATTGTAAATTTATTTCTGTAAACTATTTAATTACCATAAAAAGAATAATTTCATTTTTGTAAGCTGTGCTTTTATGATTGAACATAAAAATGTAAGTATAATAATATGTGTGACGTATTATCATTATATTATATGATATTACAGAAATTTATACAGAAAATTTTCACATTTATACAGAAATTATAAAATATAGTACTGTTATTGTAATTTTCCGTTTAATATAAAAGTATATTTACACAATTAGGTGTAAAAATATTAATTAAAAAAAAACAATTTACCCAACTTTATGTATTTCCTCTATAAATTGTGTAATTTTTATATGTGTATATTATTTATATACTTTTTTTTACCATGTAATCACAAATACCAAATATTTTTCTCTTAGTATAGAACAAGCAACGCCATGCATTAAAAACAACTCGAGAAGGTAGCACCATTGGGATTTCCAAGATTTTCTTCGTTCGGAATTGTATGATACAACCGCCATGGCCGAAATTGCTCGCGGCGAAAAATATATATCGATCGGCCGCTCCCAGAACACGGAAATAAGCTCACGGAAAGCGCGACATCATGCTTCGAGAATAAAAAGAATTCATGAAGGTGGATTTGTTTTCAGAAATTTCGATTCCTAATGAGCGTCTCGACGCTTGTAAATCGCGTCCGTAAATGATGGTCGGTGCGTATTTCTTCATTGGACTCGTAACTTTAACGAAGAGTAACTCGGGCAAACACGGAATCGATCTCTGATGACGGCGAGGACGATCCCTGTTTATGTATTCTTTTATCGCATTGCGCATACGGTCGTCATTTCCGCAACACCCGGTTGTTTACTCGAGCGTGTTCGCGGTCGTGGATAGATTTCCAAGCCCTGGCCACCAGATACTGCACCGTGTGTTCGGGTGAACTCGAATCGAGAAATGCCAACGGGTGCAGTGCGCGATATCAATTCCGATCTTTCGACACGAGATATTTTTCCAGAAGCATAGGATATGTCTCTTTTTCGAACAAAACTTCCGTAAAACATGGCTTTGAAATGCGATATTATCTGGTTTTGTCGAATACGATAAATTAAAAATAACAGTAAACGGCTTTAAGTGTATAATAAAAGTGTTTAATATCTTGAGATAAACAAGTATATCGTTCCCTTACTTTAAAAATGACACAACTAAAAAAACACGTTTCGAATTATTATCATAAACGAATTTGATAAACACACTACTATGTATATTATTATCAATTAAAAATGAATTTATAGCGTAACTTCATAAAAATATCAAATCGTCACAAGTAAAAAAGTATAATTAAAAAAAAAACGTCGAAATTGTTACAACATAAGAAGAACAAAAATAATTCAAGATTGAATTATTTAAAGCAACGAAGATCCAGCTTCGACCGTAATTGGCATTTTAAATTTTTAGTATTGATATTTTGAAATTGTATTGCTGAGAATGGGAAAGTGAACTGAAATGTACTATTTTTTGGAATAAATATTCTATCTTCTGGAATAATGATTTATGGTTGCGACCACGCTGACTCTCATTCGCCCTGATTTTTTTAGATCTTTTGTTGTTGAATTTGGGAGAGTCCGTAAGAAGATTACATTATTACACTGAGAAAAATGGTCTGGTTGGATTAAACAGTAATTCTGGTAGAAAATGGACGAATCAGAATTTTCTGGTTATGTCTATCAGAATTCTAGTTGAGAGAAGATAACTAGAATTCTGATTAATATAATTATTCTGGTAAAAATAAGAATTCTAGTAGATTTTACTAGAAATATAGTATCAACCAGAATTCCGGTTATCTCAACTAGAATTCTAATAAATTTAACCAGAAATTTCTGATTCGTCCATTTTCAACCAGAACATTTTTTTCAGTGTACTATTTCTCTATAGAATAATGTAAGAACGTGTTGTGGATTAAAATACTAATTACACGTACACATACACGTACGCACGCACATATGTACAGCATCTTTCAAGAATTAATAATGGAATCATGAAAAACAAAAATCAGACCATATTTCACGACAAACTCCTTATTGCAAATATGACGTAATGAATATCAAATTGACTCTCAAGATCTCTATCTGCTAAACAGTATCATGTCTCAAAATCAGTTCCAGTTGAGTTCTTCAGCAGAAACGGGGCTATAAATACGGGCATAAAAAACACATCGAACACGAAGCTCATTGCAGCCGACCGACGGCTCGATGGTTGTTTGTCGATCTTCCCGTCAGTCTGACATTTCTCTACTGAACATGACTGTTTACTCAAAAGCGTTTCGACAAAGTCCAGTTATAATCAAAAGCTAATCATGTCTCGAAAATGTAATGGATAATACCCACACGAGAGCACGCACAACGCTCGAGTAGCCTTTCTTTTCCAGTTAACAGTTAAAATAAATTTCAAAGTGTTGTTTAAAGCATATCTGAGTAAATAAGAAAAAAGGTATATGAGAGAAGTCTGGGACATTCTTCTGCGCACAGGGTAATTCGATAATAGAATTCGTTTAAGGATGCGAACATTAGGAGTACAAAAGAACTAAACGCAAAAGAAGAGGCGGACAGGCTAGCGCATGCTTGACGCCTCAATCTTGTTATAGTTCGGAATCGTGACTAAAGTTTTAAAGTAATTGGCACTAGATATGTAGGTTAGTCGCTATTCGCACTGTTAATGTCTTCCTGGCTACTTTGCAGCGGTAATCGATCGGGTAACAAAAAGGCCATCCGTTGGCTCGCTGATTGCCCGACTCATCATCGTCGCGATACCACTGACGCATCGCGATACAGTGCAATATCGTTAGCAAGGCGAGAGAGAGCCTCCGCTTCGTTACTCTGATTGCCGTGCTGTTTAATCAGATTCTGTATTCCCAGATGGTATACGCTCTATAACACGACTAGTTATCTCCTACACGATGACAGATGGGAATATGCTTGAGAAATTTTTGGTATAATTACGCATCTTAATTATTGCTTTTCCACTCATTACGATAAATATGATTAATCGTTAAAATATTATATAAATGTATATCTTATCTGAAAAAAAAAAAAAAACCGGTTTATTTCTAATTATTAATTAGCTATGCAGCAAACATTTATGATAAATTAGTATTCAGAACATTTCTTAATGTTAAGGGAGTATTTTTGCTTTTAGTACCATTTTTTATAACCACTTTTTAAGAACTCTTTTTTTTTAGTATAACAGTCATAAATTGTTACATTTATTTTGTGATATTTAATTCTTTACAAAATTCTTCAAACATTACAAACGATATTTTTTGCATTTATTAACAAATTTATGTGGGCATGTAAAAAAATATCCGTTTACTGTTGTCATGATTTAAAATGCAGGTATTATCTGTGAAATAAAAAATTCAAAAAGATTAATCTATATAAATAAAGTTCTCGTTCGACTTACAACCAAATTAAAAAATTGATTTTTGCAAAAATAGTAAAGATTTGAATAAAATTTTGATTTTTTTATTTAACTCTTGAAGTTCTTCCTTAAAAATCAAAAAGTTAGAATTTTTATTTGACCGTAGGTTGGACGAGAACTATATTTATATATAGATTAAAAATTTTTTTGAATTTTTAGTTTCAGATAATTCCTGCATTTTGAATCATGGCAACAGTAAATGGGTACTCCTTTAAAATAATACAATTAATATAGAATTTATGAACAATTAACATAAAAGTAATTTATATTAATTAAAAAAATATTTTAAAACGTAAATTCTAAAATAAATAAGTAAATATGTTAATTTAATTTATCATAAGTTAATAATTCTACTAAAGTAAATTTTAGAGAAAAGTATAATTTCACAATTTGTTTACAAATATGTTAGTGTTTTTTTGTGTTAATTTTTATATAATATTTGTGTTATTTCCTAATATACTCAACTTGTGTGAAATTAACATAAACAGGTAGACGTTTGGGACATGTATGAAATATGTTAAAAACACAATTTATATTGTACAACATAACATAATTTTTCCAAATGTATGTTCAATACTAAATACTAAATAGTTCGCGGAAGATAATTCTATCTCATTAAAATTATAAGAATTAAATTTCGTTAAAGGAAGCAAAATCCGCGCATCAAAAATATTTGTGGAATTAATAAGAGTGACTCACCAGTTCTCAGAAGCGTCCTCGTCGAGGATGGTCCCGTCAGCAAGTCGATGAGGCAAATTAGACGTCGTGCGCGGTCGATTCCGGACCCTCGGTGGACCAACAACACCGGTCCTTGACAGGCCAGCCCGGAAAGACGCCCTTGCCCTGTCGACTGCTCGAGTCAACGTCATTGAGTCTCATTAGTACTATTAGTAGTTGGTGTTAGAGAGCGATGGTGTGTAAAGAGCGCAATGCTTTTGCATAAATTACCGCCGCAAGCAACGGTAATTACGCAATTATAACGGTCGATATGCGACGAACGAACAGTTTTTTTATATTATCTATATCCTCGACGCTCAGCTAATATACGCAAAACACGGAGGATTACATGCAGGATGTGTGGAATACAAACGTTGTGTAATATCTGGCACACGCGACAAGTTTTTCACGAATTAACATGTGCATATGCTATCCTCAATTATAGACAAGTCACGTTAAAGTTACAATTCGCGATAAAGTGCATATGTATTGCTTGATACCGATTACGATATTATCATTCTTTTCTTTTTTTCTACTCAATGTACAAGGTTTTTGTTCGCAACGATCGCTAATTTCCTTCTTTAAAGAAATAATAAGATTTTAAATTACCGAGGTGCTCTTATATTTTTATTTATTTATTATTTGATCCTTGCCATTCGATTTAGGATTGATTTCCAGTTAATATTTTCTATATATATTGTATATATTATATAATATATATATATTTTATATCTTTACATTTATAATTTCGTATCCCTTTACATAAAACTTCTACATGGAAAGAATGATTTTGCTAAAGTAAAACTAAAACCTTAGCTAGATACAGATTTGAAAATAATTTTGTTTTAAATTATCATAATTATTAAGTAGGACGCTAAAGCATAATAAACGATGTTGAAAAAAAATGTTGACATTCTAGCAATCAATTTGAGCGCTTCATATAATTATTTTGATAAATCTAACAAAATTATTTTTAAATCTCTCTATTATCTAGTGCCCTTTTTAGGTATTTTAACAAAATCGTTCTTTCCATGTATATACGTACACGGAAAAATTAGTTTTGCTGGATTCTAAAAATTTAGTTGATACAGATCTGAAAATAATTCTGTTGGTTCATTAAAATAACTTTGTCATATTTGAGATTCCTGTATAATTATTTTGACGGTCTAATAAAATTACTTTCAGATTGGTATTAAAATGTTTAGATGCTTCAGTAAATTCGCTCTTTCCGTGTATGACATTTAGTTAGGACTAAATTCCTATTTTTTCAACAATAATGAATATTAATGAGTGTAATTTACAATCAATAATATTTAACATTTAATATTGATAATAATTATCATTTAATGTCTCGATCGAAATATTAGTGACACGTGCGTCGTCGAAAGTTAACGATGAATTTAACTTGGTCGACTCCGCATTGTCATGCTCGGCTCGTCGAACTTGTCACTTGTCAAGTGCTGGAAAATCCATTTGCCACACCGCTCGGCAAGGATACTTTATAAAGATAAGTCAGTCAACGTCGTACTTTTAATTCGCCGTCCGACATCGCAGCGTTCACGACGTCTGGCACACAGATGACAAAATGTGTAATGCCCGTTTCTGCTCTTGATTTCGCGCCAGACGTGGCCGTTGAACTTTCGCTAAAATATTATGCCTGTCTTGGAACCCTAATTCACCGAAATTCATCAGCCTCCAACGAAAAATGACACGTGCATATTGATCACTTTGAATTTTACCAAGAATCGCTTGAAGCGAGAGACACGAATTATTTTTATGTGTCTTCTCATATAAAGTTCTCTAGTCCGTAACAGAAACAGATATTTTTTTATGATGCTAAAGGAACACACGTGTCCTACAACCAGTGTCACAAGAGCATCATCAGCAGTTATCTGAAAGAAACTGACTGGTGAATAATATTAAAAAAATCAAAGGTATATTTAAAAGTACATTACATTTACTAAAATGCATTTACTTAATATGACATCCAATTATCATTAATATTGATTACAGCTTGCCATCAAGCTTTCAAGGAGATATGATTTTTATGAGATTTTCACGAACATGAAAATGACATCGATAGATGGATTGGCCTTCCCAATCTCCGGACGTAAATCTGATTGAAAATATCTGATCAATCATGAAAATGAAGCCAGCCGAAAAGAATATTTACTTTGAAACAGTTATCTTGTCACATTCGAAAGGTTTGAAGGATTTTACTCCAAATTCTGACTGAAAGTTTCGGAAGTTTCAACAACAAGCGATATAATGATTATATTATGATCGAATGCCATACTGAGTAAGTGCATGAAATAAACTAAGTATATTACTTTTAAAATGTACCTTTAACTTTTAATATACTCTTTTTTTTCAGAGAATTACTGACAACGCTCTTGTGCCATTAACTTTATTGAAATTTTTTGTTAATTTCTTGAGGATTCCACGGCTTTCTATATAAAGATTATGCGTTTCGCGGGTTTTCTGCGTGTCCAGATACATTCTTGGAATGCCAACATTTCGCGAAACGCATAATCTTAATATAGAATAAAATTTTTTGTTATTCATTTTAACAGTTTTAAAATTTTTAGCTATATAAAAAATTGAAATACTTGAGCTCACATTATTAGTAAAAATATAATATGATAATTAGCTTATGAATAAAAAACTGATAAATAAGATTATAAAAATAATATTATTCCACACAACACGCACGCACGCACGCACAAATCATCATACAATGCTATTTAAAAATTAAAAAAGTATCCCAGAGTCACCTGTTCCATATGTTTTAATTATGGGTTAAAAATCTAATCAAAATATCAATTTTAACATATACTTAATATTCATCATTTATTAATTGGAAAATGTATCTGGCGCGCGTGCAAATGAGGCAAACTGTGCTGAAAGAAACCGTGATTATTAGCAAAAATGCGCGCGTTATATGCTCGTTGCATTTAATTTCGGTATGCAAATGCGCCCGATTAAAGCGGTAAAACGTGACAAAGAAACTCCAATGTAATCATATTCACACTCGAATGCAAACCAGGTGACAAAATTACAGCTGCGATCGCTCATCGTCAGTATAGCTGATGAAAATGAGTGAATAAAGAGGTTTGGGAAAGAGCGTCGACGATCAGATCCGACGGCTACAATCTTCTCAAGTGTGTGTGCACTATATTCACTTATCGATTGTTATAAAACGAGGAAACTGTTCTCTACAAATGTCTGCCGGAATAATGTGCCATTAGGATGCGAATTGATTGGACCGTTTCCGAGTTGTTTTCCTATGTGATATCGACTTAAACCAGTATTATGCTGACCCGATAATAAGATGAAAACGGATGGAAACAAATATGGAATCATAAAGTGAAAGATGACAAATCAAATAAGTGAATAATTTAAAATAAAGATAAAATAAGAACTTTAAAAAAAATAATTGCAAATGCACAATTAATAACTTTGTGTAAGATTAAGTTCTAAAAGGTCTTAATTATGCAGACAAGATACTTACAGAGTTTTGAGATATAGTTATACTTTAATAATTATTTAATGATTATTAATTGCAATAATCACGACACTAGACGACCAATTTATTTAGATGATGGATTACTCCATCAAATATCCGTTATTGATTGCATTTTGATGAAGCTAAGGCTGCATAGACTAAGCCGATGGAGAGACAATCTCAAACTGTACGAACTATTGATTGCGGATTATATCGGCTTTTGAGAATTCCTACGCATTCAGTTACTGATATCTTGAAAGAGTTTAAAATCAGTAAAGTATTATATTTATCTCTTGTATCTCATATCGAATAATTATAATAAATAATTATATGCATTATATTTAGAACAGCTACACACAATATTAACTATTTATCAAATACATTACAGATTAAAACGTATCCAAAATTTTGTCATATTAAATGAAATTTCTCAAACACTTTTCTAAAAAAATCACATTCCTCTCCATAAATAATAAGTACGTTATATCCCAATTTATTCGATAAGCAAATTTTTTCTTTTCGATTAAAAAAAACGCGTGATAATAGATACTTAAAGCTTTGTGAAAATAAAAAGGGAAATGTAATCGCGTCCATTGATTTTTTCATTGTGACGTTCGTGAAAAAGGCATTTTCTCGAGTATCGCTCTTAATGCTAAGCGACTTTCCGCTACGATCGATTTCTGTTACAAGTTTCTAACCATCAGCTGAGCTGCTTAGGGGGCGGATTATCAAACAGGAGGTAAGGCACCTATAGCTACCTATTCGAGGGCATAACATTTATTACCGGGTCAGGGTTAACCGTTAGGCGCGCCACACACACGTCCAGTGCTCTGCAGCGTCACTCTAAAAATAGTTTCGCGAGCACTCCAGATATAAAATGCAACCACGTGTCCCGTCCTCCGTACGCATATATGTATATGCATATAATATACGTGTATGTGCACACGCATATTATACGCACGTATGCACATGTATATTCTCTAAATTCGTTCAAAAAAATCAAGAGACGTTTATGCGAAACTTGTAATACGGTATACTATCGGATTGCATTAATAAATAAGTCGACATAACAAAATTTTTATGACATTTTTATACAGAGATTTTAGTAGATATTACGCAAAACAATAGCATTGAACGCAAATTTTTGTGTATTTTACGCTCCATTTTCAGTAATGATAAAAGGAAAACCAAGATTTGTCGCGTTCATAAAAATATATGTATGTGTACGAAAATATTATAGTCATTAATACAGACGGAAATAAAGACATATCGCTCTCTTCCGTGTAATACAACTAAAAGAAATTAATAGTTTTGTTTTCCCAGAAAACAAACCTATTTTTCAATTTGAGAGAAAATTATTGACTGATCAAATAATATTGACAAAAAGAATACATTCTTAATATTAAATATCATTTTTATCATTTTCATTTTACAACCCTTCAAAAATTACTTTTTTAAATTACGACAATTTTCGACGAGTTTTTAAAAATCATTCTTTTTAGTTGTAATTTTCCGATGATTTTTTTTATAAAGTTAAGTCAATTCATCTTTGATGAGAATAATGTTTATCTAATTTATTCATGATAATAACTCGAGAATTACATTTTTTCAGTTGTGTTACTTTTAAAGTAAGGAAGAGATACACCTTGAAAGATTGAGAAATTCCAATGAAAAAAGAAATAAAAAAAAAGAAACACATACATATCACGTGCAGGAATGACAATGACAGTGTAAACGCGATGTAATTACGCACGCAAAAGAACTCGCGTCCGAATTTCTGCAGGATTGTAACGCGGCTCATTATGCGGATACACCTGACCTGAATCTATAATCGTAATAATGATCGTCACAATGAAGAGTAGCCTACGTGTGCCACGTCCCACTTGTGAACGAGGCGGCCCCGAATGTCAGCGGCGACGATGTCTTATAACGGACGCTGCAGCAGGAAATAATGATAGCCGCGTTTAAAAGCCGCAAGACGTTATATGTGTGGGAGGCACGAAATGTCTTGGCAGGATATCGTGTGTAAACGTTAAACCGGAGAAGTACCGTTTGATCTACACAGTAATTGTACAGTCAAGATCTTTGAAATCGGTCTAATCGAGATACACGCCACATGTTGCAACGGCAGGTAACTTAAAATTTCGATATTTTTCTTTAAAAATTAATTTAAAAAAAATTTTTTTCTACACTGAAAGAACAGTTTTTTTGGGTTATGACTATAATTACATGGTAAAATATTATGGTTAGGAGCTGCATTTTTATAATTACTACGCTATAATCAAATAAGAGATATTCTATTTTTGGCCAAGGATCTTAGTATTCAAATACAATATTTCAGTGTGAATGTAAAATACATTCCAATTCTGCAAACCGCAAGCTGAAATCTTTTTCAAGTCTTGAAACGTAATCATAACGTAGTGATATCTATAAAAATGGAGCTTCTAAATAAATGAAGATTATTTATTATGTAATATATATAATAATTATTATTTTATCATGCAATTATAATCACAAATACTAAAAATTTTTCTCGTAGTAAAACTCTAATATGCGTTATCTGATCATTCTCGAGTTTATCCATTATATTTATTAACAGTAATTGAGCGCAGCGAAACTTCTCGTGAAATATCGGACGTGCTATCGAATTTCGAAGTCCACTGTCGCGAATTTTACGGTGAATTTTCGTACGAAAATTTGAGCACGCGCGTGGATTGAGACGAGTCGAAGTAGAACGAATAAAATTGGAACATACAGCGTGTTGCGAGTCTGTTGTTGGCCTGACTCGGCGGTGGGATCGTGGCCTGCGGTGGCGGCTGTGAGCTCAGATCCTCGAAGTTTATGATTTGCAGGCAAATGTCGTCCACTTCGCTCTTTATTAGCGCTATCACCTCGCTGCAAAGGAACTTGGTTCCTAAAACAGGAAATTAGCAAGTCAGACATCCCTGTCCGAAGACCGTCTGACACGCGTCTTTGAGCTCTCATCATGAACTCGTATATATCAGGTGTGTATATATACGAATGAATATAATGATCCGTTATGTAAAATTTAATTTACTCATAAAATAATCCATAAATACAAGAATCTCAGCATTTAAAGATTTTAAACACTCAACCCTTAAAATTTAAAAAATATGAAGATCAACACATTCAAGAGATAATATTTTAATTCTTCGGAGTTAACGTAGATCTATTGGACCCACTCAATTACATCCCTCCGGAGTTGGTGAGTCTATCAAATCCACTGTACAGTGATTGTTTGAATAACAAAGGTTCTGATAAGTAAAAATAAATCAGCTTTCTTCGTAAAGTAATGTTAAGATAAAAAATATATTATTATATTTGAATTTACTATTAATTCTTAATTCTTGTATTTATTATTGTAGTAATTACCATTTTATACAAAAATATCAAACAATTCAATTTTCTTTACTTACTTCTGCAAAAATTTGGATTATTTTTATTAAAATACACTTACAAAGGAAGGCTTAGAAGCCTTTAAAATTCAATGAAACGTGGCAGGATTCTCATAAACATAATCATATATTCCTATTTATGGGCGTAGATGGTCAACCGTTTCCGAAATATTTCAATATTAAATTTAATAGTGGCAGTTCATTAGAGTTTATATTCGAGTTCATAGTGCTTAAAAAATTTATGTTTTACATTTTTATCAAAACTTTTACCTTAAAATTTGTAAAAGTAGCAATCCATAATAAAAATCTGTGACAATTAATAATTAATATTTTACATTAACATTTATTCCTATCATAAAAAACACTATTATATAAAAAAACAAATTAACTGTTAGTGAGATTTAAACTCGAGCCTGTAAGTAAAGAGGCTATTACCATATTCATATACGTTTCTTCAAATATCTACTCTAGTATAAACCCTCTAATAGACGTTCAGGAAAATACTGTATTCCTATCACGTTTCGTTGAAATCGATAAGGACCAGATGATTCTGAGTTTTCCCTTGTTAATATTTATCCTTTTTTATACAAGTTATGCCGTTTATGTTCATTAAAAAAGGATAGAAAGAATTGTTACAAGAATAACTTGTATTTGGCTTATATAACGCTCTTTTAATATAAAACATTTTTTGATGTAGTTCAAAAAAGCTAGGTAACGTTATATTTTATATCATTTAGGTTTCTTGAAATTAATTAGTATCTTTTGAGAACGGGAGCTTCCTAACAAAAAAAATTATTAAAAAGACCTCGTTTTTTAAACTATATGATTTTTGTTAAATTTGATTTTGGCATCAAAATTCTAAATTTCAAAAAAGTAATCTGATTATCGCAAAATTCCGTTTTAGGTTTTTTATATTGCTGAGTTTAAATGTAATCTGAAAATATCGAATTTCGAAAGGATAGTAACTTTAAAAAAAAAATTTAGTGATATAAAACTTATAATCAAAGTTCAAAAGTCAATTTGGAAATCAGTTTAACTAACTGTTTTACGTAGCACTGACGAGTTTTAAATGAAACAAAATTGGAAACTTGATATCATATATTAAATTTGTTAGAGGAGGATAAAAGCCAATTTGCAGGATGTACGTGCAAGAGTGTATTAAACAATTTCTTTAAATATATACATATAGCAAACATTTCAACCTTATATTACGTCATTTTCAATGCTTATATAAAATTCAAATTGTATAACGGTGCTGGTACGTTCTCAATATAGAAATTGATAATCGATTAATTGACACAATTGTCCAATTACTAATATTGATCCAATTAAAATTTGAAGAAAAATACAACTTATCTTGTGTTTGCTTCTCTTATTGATGAGTTAAATTATATGTTATTTTTTAAAGTCCTACAGCGTATTCTTTCAAATCTAGAGTATAACAAATTTTCAAAGAGGTTGATGTTATTAAGTAATAGAACATTGATATTATATATATACTCCGGAAGGTTAAATAAATTAATTCTTGATACATATTCTCCCAACATAAACCGACGTATAAGCATCTTAGACTAGTCGTTTGAAGTACTGGAGTGTTATACATGTAAGTACCATCTGCACTCGAGAAACTCAAGTTTCTGATGGCACGAATGGCACGTCAAAATCATCGCGTCGATGGCACTTTGATGCGTGTCAAGGACTATCGTGGTGCGACCGTAAAATTCGGAAATATTGAGCAGTGAATCAAGAAGTACAAAACGCTGGAGAAATTCATGCCGGGGCACGTACAAAGCACCGTAACCCATTCGTGGGACGCGCGACCGTGCAACGCAATAAATATTCCAGATTGACGTTTACTGGATGTCTCTTAGACACCGATGCGCAAACTCGCGCATTGGCAATATTTCATTCGCAAATAGGCGGTTGGGAAGACAAAAGAGACGATGGTAATATTACGAAACTTGCCGTAAAAGTCTCTGGATCGTGCCCAAATAGTTGTCTCGTCCTAGCTGCGCTAATATCCTCGTAAAGCCTAGATTGTTGCTGCAGTGACATAAAAGTGTTAAGTGCCCGATATAAGCCCGTCGTAACAACTTTGTTACATCAGATCGCGTTAAAGTAGATGTAATGTGGAGCTTATCGCGGCCTGTTGCAAGTACTGCTCGTGGTAGTAAAAAATATGAAAAAAAAAATTGTATATTTTATCTTTGACATTAGCTACGAAGAATATAAACACGCGATGCCAACTTCCGATAAGTGTCAACTTGATTTTCTGCCGCGTAATTAAATGAAAAAATTATTATCAAGATTGGAATTTTATTATTTTTCCATCTTCTGGCAACGTTTCCAAGAGACAGGTTCACCTTGGCTAATTATAAAAGTCAACGCAGTCGTGACAATCAGAGAATCAGACAAATAAGTTATTAGAAAAGTGTAAGTTTCCGCGCTAGGAGTTTAACTTCAATTAGAGAAGTCTGCAGCCTTTCTCTCTCTCTCTCTCGTGCAAGAGGAAAATAATTTCACGCATAAAGTGATGAAAAGATTTATTCGCAGTAGTTGGCGAAAATAATTAGTGATGATGTTTACGTGTCAGGGCATCTTGGACGGGATTTAGAAGACATCGACGAAAGAAAAGTGTCCCGTGTGAAAATTCATCCGGCCAAAAATCGAGCCAAGATTGCCATCTGGATATTCCATAACGAACATTATTCTGGAGTGCAGCGTCAACATCTCTGATAAGATCCATATGTCCTATTGAATTACACAAGACGTCGGTTTGACTTTGTGGTACTACAATAGAACGCATATTCCTCGCCATGATCAAACGAACGTTTCTCGCATTCTCAATCGATGTCACGGCCAAGGCTGATGCGCCAACATATTTTTACTCTCTACATACCGTTATATATTTTATCTTGCGCAACGTGAGGAGAACCAAGATTACTTTTGAACTTTCGCAGAATTACGACACCTTAGAATTGTGTAATGCATTCTTAATAGAACACAATACAGGGTGACAAGAAAGTTTAGCCACAAAGTTTGAGCCAAGTTAATCAAATCATTAGTTAACAAGCTGTCGTTTTTTGTAGTCATTTAAATTAAATATGTTAAAAAAAATAAATTCTGGAGTGTTAGTTACATTTTATTAAATACCAAAACGCACCTTGCACCAAAAGATTTTTATTTACCGAAATAAAGATCGCTCTATTGAATGGTTGAGAGAATTTATTCGTAGAAAGATGTGAGCCATCGTTGATGCGTTCCCGAACTTCTTAAAGCTTGTACCAAAGTCGAAGATAGCTATTTTGAATGTTAATTATTATTTTTGGTAATAAAATATAACTAAAATTTCAGAATTTTTTTCATAAATATATTTTATATAATATCTACTAATGATTTAATAAACATAAAACTTTTTTGTGGACAAACTTTTTGTCACCCTGTAATTTTCTGCAAGGATACATTTTCTCGTATTATTTCCAGACTTCTATAATTCGATTCGGAGAGATCTCTCTAACTAAAGCTGCGTTCCGTTATTCATTGCGAGTACTGAAAATCTATACGTAACGTCAACTATATAGAGTTTCAGTATTCGCAGTGAATAACGGAACACAGTCTAAATTATAAGATATTCCAGACAAGCTCCATTTCCTCGCAAGCCTCAATCGTATGCCGTTAATTTCGCAGTTCGCGTATTGTTAATGCTCGAAGTGGCTAATATGTGTGGTTTTTTAAGCAACGTCTGTACAATAAGGTGTCTTATCGATCAGTATTTCTTTTCATTGTCGATTTCTTCTGTTTCAGCGTAGAATCACGCACACCACGATCGGTCATGCATAGTTGGTTCTTTAAAGTCCGACTGAAGTGAATTTCTGAATACGTGCGACTCGTAGATTCCGAGGTAGATTCCAAGCACGAAGCAAGAAGCACGTGTCACACCGATATATTCTCTAGGGATAACGATTTTATATCCTTAGAAAAGAAAATGTATTCACACGAAATTTACAAATAAATTACAAAATTGGATTGAACTATTTCCCTTCTTTTCTTCATGACATTCTCTCTATAATTTAATGTTGAAATAAAGTTTCTGCTTTCTTTATTTTATATAATGTGTACAATCATTTAATTGTAAATAATTAAATATTAATTTTGATCTAAATTGAATTATCTTTTTATTTCGCGCACGAACTGTTCCTTGCTTTTTAATAATTATTTGTAGATTTTATATTTTATTTAAAAAAGAGACAAAGACTATGCGCGTTCGATTAAAACGCCTCAGAGCCAATCAATAAAGGATTGCACTTGTTGGTTTGTAATTTGTTATTTCGTATTTGTTAACGTAGAAATAATAAAGATCCGACGTTCGGCAACGTTTCAATATACACTTTTTCTATTTCGTCCACAGACAATATTAAAAAAAAAAAGAGATTTTATCTTCACGCAAACACGATTGGGGAACTTGGATGATTTTCAATTTTTGTGAAAAAGGGGAGAT